GACGACGTACAGATGCCGAAAATTGGAATGCCGAAATGGCGTCCGCCATCAATTTTCCGTCTAGTGAAGGGTATTTGACAGTCGGACATCGATTTTGAGCCTCTACATATCGTCCCCATTCAAAATATACCCATATTGTGGGGGTATTTAACATTACTATCCAGTTTATCTGCAACTAGAAGCTGCCATCTTGGAATTCAGTAATTGCTAATTCGTAGTTACCACCGCGAATCCCAAAATACCCACATTCATGTGTATTTGACAGTATTTCCAACTTTTCCTGTATCCTGTAGCTGCCATTTTGGATTTCAGGTAACTCATTTTCAATTTCTAGATGTAATTATCTAGACATCATTCCTTTTCCAAAAATACTCATATTGAAGGTTATTTGACTGTATTTATATCTTTTCTGAAACCGGAAGCCGCCATCCTGGATTTCAAAATGGTATCGGACATTGATATTCGGCATCTATATGTCATCTCAAAAATCTATATTATTGGGTATTTGACAGTTTTTCTAAAGTCAATGGCCACCATCTTGCATTACAAAATGGTGTTGGACATAAATTGTAGTTTTGTTCCGAAAATACCCATGATGTAGGGTATTTAGCAGTTTTTCCGAATCTGAGCGCCACCATCTTGGATTTCAAAATGGTATCGGACATCGGTTTTCGGCATCATACACGCGTCCTGTACCAAAAATATCCATATCGTAGAATTTGACAGCTTTTCAGAAAACAACGGCCGCCATCTTCGATTCCAAAATGGCGTCAGACATCAATTTTTGGGATGAACACGTCGACCCAGTTCCGAAAATATCCATATTATAGGGTATTTGACAGTTTTTTCTGAAGTCACTTACCACCATCTTGGATTCAAAACTGGCGTCAGACCTCGATTTTCGGGATGTACGCGTAGTACTTGTTCCGAAAATACCCAAATATGATAGTGTTTCTGAATCTGAGAGCCACCATATTGGATTACAAAATAGTGTCAGACATATATTTTCGTCGAACCCGTTCCGTAAATACCCATACATATTGTAGAGTGTATGACAGTTTTTCAGAATCTGAGAGCCACCATGTTGGATTAAACAATGGCGTCGGACATCGATTTTCGGTCTGAAGACGTCATCCCGATTCCGGAAATACCCATATTGAAGGGTATTTAGCAGTATTTCCCACTTTTTCTGATATTGTCAGCCGCCATCTTGGATTTCAACATGGCGCTGGATATCGATTTTCGGTCTCAAGACGTCATCCCGATTCCAAAAATATACATATTGAAATGTATTTGGCAGTATTTCCCACTTTTTCTGAAATTGGAAGCCGCCATCTTGGATTTCAAGATGGCGCTGGATATCGATTTTTGGTCTCTAGGCGTCATCCCGATTTCAAAAATATACATATTGAAGTGTATTTTGCAGTATTTCCCACTTTTTCTGATATTGGAAGCCGCCATATTGGATTTCAAGATGGCGCTGGATATCGATTTTTGGTCTCTAGACGTCATCCCGATTCCAAACATATACATATTGAAGTGTATTTGGCAGTATTTCCTACTTTTTCTGAAATCGGAAGCTGCCATCTTGGATTTCAAGATGGCGCTACATATCGATTTTTGGTCTCGAGACGTCATCCCGATTCCAAAAATATACATATTGAAGTGTATTTTGCAGTATTTCCCACTTTTTCTGAAATCGGCAGCCGCCATATTGGATTTCAAGATGGCGCTGGATATCGATTTTTGGTCTCTAGACGTCATCCCGATTTCAAAAATATACATATTGAAGTGTATTTTGCAGTATTTCCCACTTTTTTCTGAAATTGGAAACCGCCATCTTGGATTTCAAGATGGCGCTGGATATCGATTTTCGGTCTTGAGACGTCATCCCGATTCCAAAAATATACATATTGAAGTGTATTTTGCAGTATTTCCCACTTTTTCTGAAATCGGCAGCCGCCATATTGGATTTCAAGATGGCGCTGGATGTCGATTTTTGGTCTCTAGACGTCATCCCGATTCCGAAAATATACATATTCAAGTGTATTTCGCAGTATTTCCCACTTTTCTGAAATCGGAAGCCGCCATCTTGGATTTCAAGAAGGCGCTGGATATCGATTTTCGGTCTCGAGACGTCATCCCGATTCCAAAAATATACAATATACATATTGAGTGGCAGTATTTCCCACTTTTTCTAAAATTGGAAGCCGCCATCTTGGATTTCAAGATGGCGCTGAATATCGATTTTCGGTCTTGAGACGTCATCCCGATTCCAAAAATATACATATTGAAGTGTATTTAGCAGTATTTCCTACTTTTTCTGAAATCGGAAGCCGCCATCTTGGATTTCAAGATGGCGCTGGATATCGATTTTCGGTCTCGAGACGTCATCCCGATTCCAAAAATATACATATTGAAGTGTATTTTTCAGTATTTTCCACTTTTTTCTGAAATAGGAAATACCAATATTGAAGGAAATTAACAATATTTCCGGCCTTTTTTTAAAACTTCGAGAGAAAGTCCACAGGACTTCGAGAGAAAGTCCACAGGACTTCGAGAGAAAGTCCACAGGACTTCGAGAGAAAGTCCACAGGACTTCGAGAGAAAGTCCACAGGACTTCGAGAGAAAGTCCACAGGACTTCGAGAGAAAGTCCACAGGACTTCGAGAGAAAGTCCACAGGACTTCGCGAGTTAGTCCAGAGAACTTCGAGAGGAAGTCCACAGAATTTCGAGAGGAAGTCTGCAGAATTTCGAGAGAAAGTCCACAGGACTTCGAAAGAAAGTCCACAGGACTTCGAGAGAAAATCCACAGGACTTCGAGAGAAAGTCCACAGGACTTCGCGAGTTAGTCCACAGGACTTCGCGAGTTAGTCCACAGAACTTCGAGAGGAAGTCCACAGGATTTCGAGAGGAAGTCCACAGAATTTCGAGAGAAAGTCCACAGGACTTCGAGAGAAAGTCCACAGGACTTCGAGAGAAAGTCCACAGGACTTCGAGAGAAAGTCCACAGGACTTCGAGAGAAAGTCCACAGGACTTTGAGATAAAGTCCACAGGACTTCGAGAGAAAGTCCACAGGACTTCGAGAGAAAGTCCACAGGACTTCGAGAGAAAATCCACAGGACTTCACGAGTTAGTCCACAGAACTTCGAGAGGAAGTCCACAGAATTTCGAGAGGAAGTCTACAGAATTTCGAGAGAAAGTCCACAGGACTTCGAGAGAAAGTCCACAGGACTTCGAGAGAAAGTCCACAGGACTTCGAGAGAAAGTCCACAGGACTTCGAGAGAAAATCCACAGGACTTCGCGAGTTAGTCCACAGAACTTCGAGAGGAAGTCCACAGAATTTCGAGAGGAAGTCTGCAGAATTTCGAGAGAAAGTCCACAGGACTTCGAAAGAAAGTCCACAGGACTTCGAGAGAAAATCCACAGGACTTCGAGAGAAAGTCCACAGGACTTCGCGAGTTAGTCCACAGGACTTCGCGAGTTAGTCCACAGAACTTCGAGAGGAAGTCCACAGGATTTCGAGAGGAAGTCCACAGAATTTCGAGAGAAAGTCCACAGGACTTCGAGAGAAAGTCCACAGGACTTCGAGAGAAAGTCCACAGGACTTCGAGAGAAAGTCCACAGGACTTCGAGAGAAAGTCCACAGGACTTTGAGATAAAGTCCACAGGACTTCGAGAGAAACTCCACAGGACTTCGAGAGAAAGTCCACAGGACTTCGAGAGAAAATCCACAGGACTTCACGAGTTAGTCCACAGAACTTCGAGAGGAAGTCCACAGAATTTCGAGAGGAAGTCTACAGAATTTCGAGAGAAAGTCCACAGGACTTCGAGAGAAAGTCCACAGGACTTCGAGAGAAAGTCCACAGGACTTCGAGAGAAAGTCCACAGGACTTCGAGAGAAAATCCACAGGACTTCGCGAGTTAGTCCACAGAACTTCGAGAGGAAGTCCACAGAATTTCGAGAGGAAGTCTACAGAATTTCGAGAGAAAGTCCACAGGACTTCGAGAGAAAGTCCACAGGACTTCGAGAGATAGTCCACAGGACTTCGCGAGTTAGTCCACAGAACTTCGAGAGGAAGTCCACAGAACTTCGAGAGGAAGTCCACAGAATTTCGAGAGAAAGTCCACAGGACTTTGAGAGAAAGTCCACAGGACTTCGAGAGAAAGTCCACAGGACTTCGAGAGAAAGTCCACAGCACTTCGAGAGAAAGTCCACAGGACTTCGAGAGAAAGTCGACAGGACTTCGAGAAAAAGTCAACAGGACTTCGAAAGAAAGTCCACAGGACTTCGAGAGAAAATCCACAGGACTTCGAGAGAAAGTCCACAGGACTTCGACGAAAGTCCATAGTACTTCGAGAGAAAGTCCAAAGGACTTCGAGAGGAAGTCCACAGAATTTCGAGAGAAAGTCCACAAACTTCCAGAAAAAGTCCACAGGAATTCGAGAGAAAGTCCACAGGACTTCACGAGTTAGTCCACAGAACTTCGAGAGGAAGTCCACAGAATTTCGAGAGGAAGTCCACAGAATTTCGAGAGAAAGTCCACAGAATTTCGAGAGAAATTCCACAGGATTTCGAGAGAAAGTCAACAGGACTTCGAGAGAAAATCGACTGGACTTCGAGAGAAAATCCACAGGACTTCGAGAGAAAGTCCACAGCACTTCGAGTGAAAGTCCACCGAATGAAATTTCCCTTGAAGACAAATGGCCTTCCTCGGCAAGTCCCATGATTTTCTCTGAGAAATAATCTTAAATTCCCCTAGAAGTCCTATGAACCTTCCTGAGTTCTTCAGGAAATGAAAGCTCAATTGTTTTCACAAATGTATCTGCTTGAGCAATGGCAATGTTATTGCGTCTGAAAAAGTTTTAAAAATTATACCATGTCTTGACAGGAAAATTTTAAATACCTAAATACTTTATCCTAAATATCAAAATCAGCAGAGACGATTCTTCCACTACCTAAGCTTCAAATAATTAACCAGAGAATAAAAACTCACCCTAAACCTCCGATCCTCCTCGAGTCGTTCCTGGCAGAGAACCTTCAACCGCACGGTCCTTATGATCGATTCGGGAATCTCCGTATTGACTGGCACATTGAACACCCCTATCAGCATGGCTCGATTGTACCGCACGCCCCGCGGGAAGAACTCAATTTCCCATGCAACGCTTTGCTCTAAAAACAAAAATCCCCAATGAATTAGCTTCACATAAAGCAAGTCCTTTAGGAACCTACCTTCATGGTATTCGGACAGATGCTTCTGTGAGAAAAAGCACGCCACAAAGTTCTGATAGTTGTTGATCTGCTCGAACTCGTTGATCGTCATGCTAAGGCCCCAAACGTCGGTGGTATAGAGCCGGGGCGTAAACTGAAGAGAGCCGTTTTCCTGCGCCCGAATCGTCCGGATCCGATCGTCCTGCCCCGAGTGGTAGCTCATACCGATGGCAACGCGTTCGACGAAGAACTCCTTGTGGGACTGAAAGATCGGGCTGACCAGAATTTTGGCCAGCTCCGACGGGGACATCATCGCGAAGCGCACGTGCACAAACACGGCCTCGATCGTACTGACTAGCTCGAACTGGCGTTCTTCATCCGACATGTCCGGTTCCTTGTCCAGTTGGTCCTTCTTGTACAGGAGCCACTTCTCAAGGTATCTGGAAGTTGGATTTTGCTTATGTAATTTCTGAGCTGGGTTAAAATGCAAGGATATCTTACCCGAAAAGCGTGAACTCGCTCTGTACCACGAGATCGCTTTGCTTCAGCAGCGTCACCAGGATCATCCCACAGAGTTCGTTGAAGTCGTTCGATTCCGAAATGATATCCAGATTCCATTTCAGAAATTTCTGCAGCGCCTGCGTTAGCTCCTTATGGCTGCTCCCCAGCAAGATTGTGTACTGAAACCACGACACCATGTAGCCCTGGGTGGCCGCCTTGGCCACATGTTTCATCATGTAATCCACGCAAAGTTCGACCAAATCTTTGATGTTGTACTTGTCCGCCAGCTCTAGCATTGGCATCACCGTTTGAATTGAAACCTTAATCTGTCCCACGTACAGGTACTTGAGAAACTGGGGGAAAACCATCGAACACATTGGGTCCTCCTTCAGTTCGATGACACTCTCGCGACACTCGTTCCATTCCGGATTCATGAGCATAACCTGGAACACATCGCTGCTGGCACATAGAATCACCCGGTGCGCTGGGTAGCGATTGTCCCCCACCACCAGACAGACATCGGACATCAACTGCTCCGCATAGAGGTTTGCTATCTTCAGCAGGACCCCCTTGGAGTTGTTCATCTGTGAAACGAAAAGGAGCCAGACATGAGGGTCTCGTTGATAAGACAGACACTATTCTGAATACATACCTCCACATCGCTCGAATCCTGACTTATTTGCTCCTCCATTCTGTGTTTCGTTTAGATTTACACACAAACGTTTGTAAACAGTTTATAAACTTATGCACTAGCACGAAATCACGACATATTTTCACGATTCTTCTTCAGGAAACTTCTACACTAAACGAGCTTCTTCTGATGTGTAGTTTGATTAGATGCCACAATAAAAACTGCCCGGAAACGGTTATACACCCAATTTTTACATGAAAAACCGATATTTTCAATTAATTTTGCACTAAACTGGAAACACGCACGAAATGTGAAGTTTTTCCTAATTTTGTGATCTTTTTGGTCCTAGTTTGACAGCGTAGGAAATTCACCAGCAACAACAACAGCACAGTTGTAAACAAAGAATGGGAGCTGAAAAAGTGGCGACGCAAAAACAATCATGACGAACCTTGGGTGGACCAAACTACCCATCAGTGTGCCGGGGACTTTCTATGCAGTTTCTGCTATTAATGCTTGTTTATGAAATTTTAAATCATTTCGAAATGATAAATCATTGTTAAGTTTCACAATCTCAGAAAATATAATAAAGCGATGAAATTATGTAGAATTTCATTCAAAAATCCTTCCAAAAATGACGCACAATTGCAATACTTGTCCAGAGCTATAATTCACCTCAAACCCTCTGCTTTCCAGAGCTTTACTCGCATTCCCCATCACACCATTTTCGTGTGGTGAAAAGCTTCCACAAAACTGTCAAAGTCGAAACCCGTTTTCATCCAGTCATAATAATGTTGTTTTGTGTTTCTATTCGTCATCGTCGCTAGTCCGAGCTTGTAAAATTTGTGCAATAATTTTGTTCGTGTCCTCGTAGATAACTAAAAAAATGTTAGAATTCCTGAAAATAAACGACAAGCACTACATTGTCCAGATTCGGAAGGTGGACGATCAGCCGGTGGATAAAAGGGGCGATTGCTGCACTACAGTGCAGTGTAACTTGTTCGATTTGGCTCGGCTTTGGTGCGAAACGATATCCGTTGAGGACCTGATCGAACGGGAAAAGGTAAACAGAAAACAACGCAACAAGAAGAAGTGGAAAGGAACTCAAATTTTAAAGGGCCATCGCTTTAAAGACAGTGCCAAAGTGACGTTTCTTCACACAGACATGTTAACAGATCCTTGTAGGATTTTGTGGTGGAGTGAAAGAGTAAGAACAAGTTCCCCTATAGAGTTCTCCAGATGCACAAAAGTGTGCGTGAGACCGCGCGCTACCCTTTTAAGTAGTTGTGATATCGCGATACCTTTTTGTTTCTTCTTCTTCTTTATTTTTATGTATGGATGTTGGATTTTAGTGTTCGTGAGATTGCGCTTGGAGATCTCTATTGGAGTAAAAAGTTACAGAGCTCTCGTCAACGCGCGGGAAAATGAGTATGTGAGTTTGGCACTCAGTACTCACGCTCTTCCATCTGGGAATTTTAAATGAGATAGGGTGACCAGGATTTTTCGATCATCGATTTGCATGAAGCTTTGCATAATAATTATTATTTGTTATGGTCAATCATCAGGGATAAAGTAATGCCGCGGATAGATTTGCATGACAATCTATGAGCATGAGCATTATTTGTATAATAAATTATAAGCACATCCATGGTCACACTTGTATAGTTTGTGTATAGTTGTTGTATAGTGCTCATAATTTTTATACAAATAATGTTCATGCTCATCTCATAGATACAAGTGTCCGCGGCATAACTTTGCCACCTTGTGTCTGTGCTTATTGTGTTTCATGTGTGTTTTTGGGTGTCGGAATACTGTACCAAAAAATCATCCTCCATTCAAGCTTCAAACCATTCAAATCTAATAGCGAATTCGTTTATTATTCAGTTCCAACCTGGATCGGGTATCAAGATTGTGTCTGCTTGTTTTCTGACAAACGTCAGTTTGATCGTTTGTTTTTAAAACCCAGCTCAGGTTGAGGTTCGCACTGACAAAAAGTTCGGTTTCGCACTGGGTTGGAACTGGTTCCAACCCCGATAATAAACGAATTCGCTATAAAACGCCGCTTCGAATGATAGCTGCAACCGGATGACGGTTGTTTCGTAATCAGATGATGCTCCTCTCGAATACAGGATGAACATTGATACGAGAAGCGAACGGACCCCAGATGAAATACGTAATGCCTTCTGTGGAATGATTTTCATCCCAAATTGAAATGCATATGGTATTGGTTCAGCCCCATGACGCAAATCATCCACAAAACAATGATGTAAATAATTCCATCGAACGTCATTTGCTGATCTGAGCTGACAAACGAGGTGTTGTTGTTGTTGTTGTTCTTTATTAGTGACATTTTACATCCTGCGGATGCATTCATGTCAGTTAAATTGGTTTTTGTGTAAACAGTGTGTGGGTGTGTTCAGAGTGATGTGAAGGTGAGTGTTAGTGTTTACGATACAATTCAAAATTCACTTAGCTTTCTTATCGTTTGCTCGTTTCCTGGTTCATCGTCTGCATGCTCATCTCATGGTTTACACTAAAGAGCCTGTATTTATAAAGAGACGACATGTCAAAATTGGAACAATCGATTGTCTGTCAAAATCATAGTCATTCCAATCGAGCAGAAGACCTGTCAAATTGATAAGATGTCGCCTCTTTATAAATTCAGGCTCTTTAGTTTACACTTCTTCTTCATAAACGGGTACCATACATTAACGATATCATAGATGGTACGAACGTGGTAGTTAGGCGCTTCTTATGGTTATTGTTTATGCGGGTAGTAGTTATCGCTATCAGAGATGGTACAAACATTGGTAAACCGTGGAAACCGAAGATTGTCTATTTTGTGATGGAGGAAGATTATATCACTCGCCCAATCAGCGTCGCTGTCGAGGGGCTGTCAGCTTGAGTATTTTCGCTTCATATACCCGACTTGAAAAGGTGTGTTGAGTATTTTTTCGTATTTATGTATTTTTAAGTTTGGTGTATTTTTGTATTAAAGTGTATTAAATTCAGGGCCCTACAAAGTCACTTTAAATCGAAAATCATCAAGCGACGATGAAGCTGTCAACCATCACTTTCAATTGAAAGCCATTCTGTCTTCTGTTCGAGCAGATCCCCGTCAACATCAAAAGAACCACTTTCGATCAGTTTTCATGCTGTTTGTTTTGGCTTGACTCGTGTTCATTTCTTCTTTCATTGTCAAATGAACTTACTTTTGCATGCATTGAAGCGAAGCTGTTCGATCCAAATTCGTGCAGTTTTTATGACTTTTGTGAGATCTGTGCACGTGGATGTCAAATTAATCATTGTCGGGTGGTTTGTTTACCCTTCAATACGGGTATTTTTTTTAATCTGGGTGACGTCTAGAGATCAAAAATTGATATCCAACGCCATTTTGAAATCGAAGATGGCGGCTTCTGATTTACGAAATAGTGGAAATACAGTCAAATACACATCAATATTAGTATTTTTGTATTCGGTATGAAGTATACAGATCGAAAATTGACACACGACGCCATTTCAAATCCATGATGGCGGCTTCCGATTTTAAATTAAGTGGGAAATACTGTCAAATACCCATCAATATAGGTATTTTTGGAATCGGGATGGCGTCTAGAGGCCGGAAATCGATATCCGACGCCATTTTTAAATCCAATATGGTGGCTTCCTATTTCAGAAAAATGTGAAATGCTGATTCCGTCCCATGAATATGGGTATTTTTGGAATCGGGGTGATGTCTGGAGATTGAAAATTAATATCCAACGCCATTTTAAAATCCATGATGGCGGCTTCCGGTTTGAGAAAAAGTAGTAAATTCTATCAAATACCCATAAAAACGATTTATTTAGAATCAGGGTAAAGTCTAGAAGCCGGAAATCGATATCCGACGCCATCTTGTAATCCAAGCCGGTGGCTTCCGATTTGTGGAAAAGTGTCAAATATCCTAAAATATGGTTATTTTCATAGTGGGTGTTGGAGACAACTACCTAGCGAAGTACCCCTACTACTTCGTACGCCGCTAGGCTCGTACGTGGCAGCTTCGACTGTCACCCTGCGATGTCATCATGCGCAACGACACACACAAACACAAAAATAGTTGTCACCAGTAAATGAATAAAGTTGGACCAGTTCTTGTTTACGCGTTTTAACATTCCGGTTCCAATATCACCGTTTTATTGTATCCCGCGATACTGTTCCGCTTAGGCGGACATCGGCCACCCTGTAGAAGTGCGGTAATACAAAAATGGGGATGAGACGTAGATGCCGAAAAATGATGTCACACCGTCTTTAAATCCAAGATGGCGGCTTTGGTACAGAAAAACTGTGAAATACTGTCAAATACCGATCAATGTGGATTTTTTGGAATCGGGCTGACATTTTGAAGAAAGAAATCAATGTCCGACGCCGTCTTCAAATTCAAGATGGTGGCTTCCGATTTCAGAAGAAGTGTCAAATAGCCTACAAATGGCATCGAATATCGATTTTCATCATCTACGCGTCGTCCTCGTTCCGAAAACCCCGAAATAGATTTTAGGGTATTTGACACTTTTTGTGAAACTCGATGGCCGCCATATTGGAGTCCAACATAGCGTCGAATATCGATTTTTGGCATCTACGCGTTGTTACCGTTCCGAAAACAACCATATCTTAGGGTATTTGACACTCATAACACCAATGGCCACTATCTTGAATTCTAAAATGGCGTCGAATATCGATTTTCAGCATTTACGCGGCATCCTCGTTCCGAAAATACCCAATTGTAGAGTATTTTACACTTTTCCGAAACCCGATGGCCGCCATATTGGATTCCAAAATAACGTCGAATATCGATTTTCGGCACCTTCGCGTCGTCACCGTTCCGAAAATACCCGTATTGTAGGGTATTTGAGACTTTCCCTGACCCCGATGGCTGCCATCTTGGACTCCAGAATGGCCTCGTTAATTTAATTTTCGTTTAATATAAAATAATATATTATTACTACATATAATCCATCCCTATCGGCAACCGATATTGTGTGGATATTATCTGGATACTATAGTGACAAGTCGAATAAGCCCCGAATGGAAGTGAAAGTGGAAAAAACGAAGGAAGCAGTTTTCGAGTCATTCATTGCGTCAATTGAAACAAGTCTTTGCTTCAAATGAAATGAATTTAAGCACTTGACGAACGAAACAAGTGATAGTCCAGTCATGTTTGAAAAGAGGAATATTCATCATGGCTCGATAACAAGAAACACGATGACTTACACGAGAATGATATTGCTTGAAATGAAGCGATTTTGCGGAGAGTTCATTTTCTTTTCTTTGTTTCGAAAATGCATAACCCTGGCTAGCTGATCTTCTCGCTTCTGGAACTCATCCATCAACTTTTGCTTCACCAGCTCGATTGTGATGCCGTCGTCTGGTCGAGCCTCTAGAGCTTGCACAAGGCCGTCGTACGATTCCGGTAGGCTGTGCAGAATCATCGGCACCTTAAGCTCCGCATTTCCGTCAGGTGGTTGAACATACTTCCTCCTTCATCCAGATTTTTGCAGCACAGCCTCTTCAAAAGAGATACACGCGATGTAACTGTATTCTTCTCATAATGCTCCTTCAGGATATTACAGCGCACACGGGCACTTTAAGCGTTTCGCTAAGTCCAATGGTTGCTTTCACCTTCAAGTCGTCCTTCTTCCATCGACCCGTCACAGGATCCGGCTTTGCTTTTTCGATGAACCAAATCTCTTCCCGCGTCAGCAACTGTTCCATACGAAATTTCCATGGTATCCCAGTCAGTGCTGAGATTTGTCATTGTCATTAACAGACTTTCGCGCGATATTGACAAAATTGTTCGTCACATAGTCACTGACAGACTTGATCCTCAAAAAAACCTTCGTCAAAATCTCATTCATTTTTTCGTCAATGACAAAGAATCACCTGGTAACAAAAAGTGTAATTTAGTACATTCTGTGTCACATTATTGTTATCCAAGTAGATACTTGTTCACTAAAATGGATCCATGTAATTGTTTTGCTCAATTCATTTAATTTTGTTACAAATTTAGCTAATAAACAAATCTGCACA